CCGAATCAATCGTCAGTTGTTTCTGGTAAGTTGTTTTAATTTATAAAATCTTTGATTTTTAGAAGGTTCATCTAATTGCTCCAAGTTTTGATCACATTATTTTGAATGTTTAACTCTATTTCCAAGGCTTTTCCACCTGAAGAGGCTCGTCATTCCGGACAGCGTATGTTTGTTTTCTTACGAGGATACGATAGCCTTGTTGGAGAAAATATCGAAGAAAGGCGGGTTATATGGCATCACTTCGTTTTTCTGCGTTTTATCTTTTTTTAAAACTTTTATCAAACATTTAACATTATGTTACTGGTGCTGGTTAGAATTAAGAAAGTAGAAGCGAAATATCATTAGTGAATTTATTCAAATTTGAAATGTTTCACTAAGATTGTGAGTCTTTAACGGGTGTCCGCCCTTCTGAATTGCCCCAAATGCCCTGCCACGTTCATCGACCAATCAGCAAGACCAACAGCGATGTAGTATGAGTTCCCACGTTTTCCTCTGACAAGTAACGTCAGACAAGTTCTATATGGATGTATCATTTCTCCGCTGCATTTCGCCCATTACTACTTTAAAAAGCGTTTGCGGTTTGTTAGAATGCGCTAGGGGTGATCAAGGGAAGATATGGATTCACACAGCATATTTCATCTGTCAGATGATTGAGGAAATAATCTTTTAAATTAGGGCTACGCCTTACTTGGCTGGGTTACTGGGGTGCCGCGGCTCAGGTACAGGGCGCGCAGCGGATGTGGATGTGTTGCGTAGTCGAGTCGATGCTAATCCCATGTACTCTCGTGCATACAATGAGCGAACTTATGAAATCTGCAGGGATGAAGTAGCTCTTAAGATGACAAGAAGACTAAACATTATTTCTCCATAACATCTAGATAACCTGCATGCAAGACGTTATCAACGACCTACGCGATTCCAACGGGAAATTTGCATGTCTTGACAATCAAGATCCTCTACAACGTTACCATTCTCCAATTCAAATCAGTACAAAAAGACCGCAATAATGTAATGAGTAGGAATCGGTTTTTATGCAGTCGTTAAGATAAAAGGAAATTAGAAAGCTTAAAATTGAGGAATCTAACTTCTTCAGCAGGGGTCACGCAGCGAAAGCTCATGGCAACTGGTGTGAAGCTGCTCAATTCTGTCCTGAAGCTATGTATCAGCAGAAATAGAAGACAGCGACGAATTTCTTTAGTCAGATAGAGCAAAATTAACCACGATTATTGTGATGAGTAATAGAAGAAAGCAGCGAATATACAGAATGCAGTGCATGGTACCCTTAAGCTTTCTAACAGTTAATACCCAGAAATATGGACCACGGAAGTTGCCGAAAGTATGGAACTTCAATGACCCGCCCGTTGGAGCAGTGTCTTAACGCAACGCCGACGCGCTGCCCTAAGTTCTGGGTTGTGGTAGTACTCTTCGTGTTTAGAAGAGTAATTTTCGCTCACTTGAGTACTGGAAAGTAGAAGTCTGCCCCTACCAGTCTCTTATCTAACGATTCCGGTTTTGGTGCACAAAGGTGATTGAACGTGTTGAAGGAGCCAAAAAAATCAATCTCAAGCTATGATTCTCCGGAGTATGAGGAATTCGAAATTTCACAATGAAGCTATATGGGGTAATTTGATATGCTGATTAGAGAATCATAGCTATTTCACACAATGTGATGTTACTAGGATTATGATGTATACTCTCTAAGGTTGAATTCACTGATTTGCCTGGAAGTGGTCTACTGGGGTTAACTGACGGTGGTCACGAAATCATATCCATTTCCTATGGTAAAGGCATTTCGTGGGTGTGAAATTATCAAATT